GCAGGAATGTTCAGCCATCAGCGCTGGATGATCTGTTATGGCAGTGATTGTATTTAGCTTAGCTGGGGACAGTATTTGTGCTGTAAAAGTAGGGCTGTTCAGTAAAGATAATATTTTGTGAGGCAGCCTGCTCAGCAGCCTCTGCAAGAACTCAGTGAGAGCAGAGAGGTGCTACTTAGCACAGAGGAAAGGTTCCTTGCTCCAGCAGTGAGAACTGGCTCCATTTGGGAATGCAGTGGGAGCTGGGAGCTTTACGGCGCTGCTGGCCGTGCATGAGCACGCGTCGGAGGTAGGGAGCCTTAGACTGAGAAGCAAAGGAAGAGCAGCAATTTTTGTCTGCGTAGGGTGATAAAAAGCCTCTCACTGGCCCTGAGTAGAGAGCACTGTGCTGCTGATGGCTAGCTAGTTGGTGGAGTGGAGAACAGTTAAAGATGCAAAAATAAAATAGATTTTAAAAAGATGGTCTAAATATATGTGAGATCAGATCCAAGGATAGATGAGTAGCATGTCATAAGAAACAGGAAGGAGGAGGACAGGAGGCATGTCAGTTTGATTATCATGATCAGTAGGAGCATATCAATGTGAGTTGTTTAGATTTTCTCATTTGATTTTGATACTATTGCAATATTGTTCTGATTTATTTCTTTTCACTTATATTATACTGAAATATTGATGTCTTTAATGTATATAATAGTTTGTAACGTATCCTGTTCTTAATATTTTATAAAAGTGAAGCATGTAAGTTATGTTTTGAGCTAACTACACAGAAGAAAATTTGTTAGATAGTGTGTAATAAATTAAACACTTTTCAGCAAAGGGGAGAGAAAAGGACAAGGGGTTTCAGTAGATTTCTCCTACAGACCGTAATGGTACTAGGAACAGGTTCCCCCGCTGAGGACAATTTCTGCTTTTCAGTTACGGTAGCATAAAAACTCTTCTCTGTGCCAACATAAATCAGACAGGGAGCTTTTGGACATTCGTCCTTTTCATTTGGTAATTTTAAACTTGCTTCTAACTTAAACATTTACATCGCTCTCGTAACATAAAGGGACCTTAGAATGTGAGTCAATTTCAGCTATCTTGAATTTGCCCCCACTGCGACATCCCTCACCCATACACTTTCAGAGTGGTGGAACGGCTTTTGGGCACTGAAGGTCTTCTAAGTGTCCCCTGTCATGCCATCTGAGGAGTTGTTGCTACTTTGGAGCTTAAACAATTTGGCTATAAATCATGTGAAAATACAGTTTGCTAAGTGCAATCAAATCAAAGGTTAGTTTTCTTTCTGGCAACAGTGATCAGAACCAAATTTTTCACAGGCAGATACAAAAAGTAACCTACGCTGCATACTTCCATAATCATCTTCCTAGAAAGAAAATTTCATCCTAATACCAGGAAACTACTGGTTATCTTGTGTCATTTAGCATAGTTGCTCATATAAGCGTAATACTTATATACTTGCTTGCATGATATTGTAATATATTTTGTTTAACTGTGAATGTTTATGCTTCTAAGCAAATGTCTCATTGTGTTTTAATTCCACTAAGTTCCTAACTTTTCTGATATGTTGTGGTGGTAATGTCTAAACGCCTGCACATATATTCTTCTTTCTCATCCCTATTTTCTTTTCTCTAAATGGGAAGGAAATTCTGGGAGACAGCCATTCTCTGGCATTGTAAAATATCTTCTGGTTAACCAGATACGAAATAGTACACGTGGTTAAGAATAATGCCAAATGGCACAAAACTGTCATCCCGTAAGGAACAGTTAAGTAAC